TGTCAGACCATGATTTAAGATTTTTTTCCCCCAGTTTCTTGTCATGTGGAAATCAGGTAGTCCTGTTTCTACAATGGTCATTTGAGCATTGGTAACATTGTGCTTCAGGACAGAGCCGAGGGCAAGGCTCCAGGAACACGACCAGAAAGATGCTTTAGGAAATCAATTGTGAGATAATCAATGAAGCCACACTCCTGGGTACCATCCCAGCTATTTGAGTGAAAGCTGAGTGAACACAATCCATATCCCAACATTCATGGAAGATTCCATGAAGAAAGCACTTTCCAAGCAGCTGGCTGAAATCACCACCCCGCTGTCCCTAGGTTTCCACAGAAGGGCATCTCACATCATTGTCTCATCCTGAATCTTCTCTGAAGTTCTCAGTGATTATTTATAGGCAATCTGTTTGAGCCATCACAGGACCAATCTCTCTGTTCCTTCATGCACAAATCACACCATTTTCTACTTCCTGAATTTCAAGATAAACTTGGTGTCCAGTCTTTGGTTACCAATTTCTCAGAATTTCCCAGAGAATATTGTAGATGGTCTCCCAAGGGCACATATCCTCAGATACTGTCCGTGGGATGATCAGATGTCAGTCAACTGGGCTGAAACATCACTCTTCAATTTCATCCTGTGTCACCCCTTTTGGAATTTTAATCTTCAAAGATTATTCTCAGGAAGATAAGGAAACCCAGTGGGTTAAATAACCAAACCACACACATCACCTTTGTGATTCAAGCTTCTCTCTGGTCATTTTCTCCTGCACAGTTAGACAACATCAGTATGAACTGTATGTTTTTAACACTATAAGCTCACTGCGGAAAATGTCCTAAAAAAGGAAAGCTATTTCTGAATTTTATATTTTTTTCTTTCTCCTTAAGATATCTTCAAAATCTTTAGTAACTTCTCTGAAAATCGCCATTCTAGGAAATTACCATGTCAAATTAGTTTTCTCCTATAAATACATGTGTGTGAATATGTATGCATATATATGTGTGTGTGTGTGTGTATGTATATATATATATATATATATATATATATATATATATATATATATATATATATTTGTAAGTCATCTGCAATCACCCAGGCATTTGCTCCTAATATTTCAGCATGTGCCTCCCAAGCATAAGAGGGATGCACACAGAGACACAGCACAGTGGCCCCACCCCAAAGAAACTTTACAGTTGTGCTGTGATATTATTTGATGCAAACTAATTATTAATTAAATTAAAATTAATGATTTTTTTCTATCTCAAGCACCCCAAATTGATTCGAGATAAAATCAAGGATCATTTGTTGCATATCATGGTTGATGATCTTTAATCTCCTTTAACTAAAGGTAGTTTCTTCATCTTATTGTGTGTCTCGGTATACCATTTTTGAAGAGTCTAGGCAAGTTATTCTCCGGCACCCCTCTCCATCTGGATGTACTTAATGCTTCCTAATCACTAAATATGTCATAAGTATTTTTGGCAGTTCTTTCTATGTGTGCTGTGTCCTCTGGATATCGGTGTAAGGAGGCCGAGGGTATCAATGTGTCTCATTATCTGAAATTTTAAATGGCTTGTGGTTTTGATGGACAGATGCTGTCTGTTATTTGGCAATCTCTCTGTGTAGTGGAACATTCCCCAACCCTGTAACAGTAATATGTCAAGTGTTACTTCGAGAATGAGTAAATATTTAGCTCCCCAATAACAAATTTGACCAATTTCAATTTTTAATAATTTTATTAGTTCTTTGATTTTTTTGTACATGTTTTAATCATATTTACCCTTCTTGTTCTGACTCTTCCCAGATCTACCCTTCTCCCCTTCCCATCCACCCAACTTTGTGTCTTCTTGCCCAGCAAAACCAAATGGAGCTGTCCAAATATTGTTCAGTGTGTGGTCTTTAACAGAGCCCGATCTATTTACCAGGGGCCACACACGTAGAGGAAATGGACCCTTCCTTTTCACCGGAAGCTAACAATTGCCAACAGCTCTTCAGTTAGGAGCGGGAATCTGTGTTCGGGAATCTGTGTTCAACTCCTGCCCCATGCTGGGATTTGGTCTGGTTTGGGCTTGCGTAGGTCTTGTGTGTGGTGCCTTTCTCCCGGTGTGAGTTCACACACGCAGCCGCCCTGTTGTGTCAGAAGTCACTGTTTCCTTGGAGTCACCCACTGCCTCGGTTCTTACTCTGTCTGCCCCTTTCAGACATCTGCTCCCTATTTCACAGTGATCCCCGAGCAGTGGGAGGAGGCAGTACAGAACATGTATCCCATTTAGGGCTGGGTTTTCTGCAGTCTCTTAAAAGAATTCAACATTCTACTCTTCTAACTGAAACCGAACTTAAAAAGAAATCTCCAGTGCTGATATCCTACAGATACTAAAGTATTTGTTTTAAATGATGGATTATAATATTGGTTACTGCACCCATTGGTGACTTGGCAATGTCTCCTCCCCACAAATTTCTGTTCTTTGCAATGCAAAATGAAAATTCTCTAAAGCTGCCACCATGATTCTGATGTTTTCCTTAGAAAGATTTATTTGTATTTCCATGGAAAATCTTCCCCTAACCTACAGAATTTTGGTCTCAACCTCTTGTCACTTTTTTCTTCTACCTTTTTTTCTTTTTTCTTTTTTTCTTCCTTTCTTTTCCTTTCTTTTTTGGCTTTTGAGGCAGGGGTTTTCTATGCAACAGCCTTGGCTGTTGTAGACCAGGCTAGCTTCAAACTTATAGAGATCCACCTGCTTCTGTCTCCAGAGTGCTGGGATTAAAGGTGTGCACCACCGCTGCCCAGCTTCCTTTTACCTTTTGATATTCATTGTGTCTTTCCTTCCCGGCACAGGTGACATTGAAGAAAAATGGTGTCACGGAGTGCGGTCTTCACTCACATAGAGCTGTCTTTTAGTTCTTAGTGAATGGGCAATCTTACTTTTAAATGTATGCCATTGCCTTGGGGAAGAAAGAAATGATGCTTTATACTGACTTGTATTTGTTTCCTGGAATTATTAATTAGTTGATCAATTAATTAATTTAGTTTGTGGTTTTTGAGACAGGGTCTTGCTATGTAGCCCAGGCTGGCCTCAATCTGTAATCCTCCTGCCTCAATTTTTTGTTTTGTTTTGTTTAGTTTTTTGAGATAGGGTTTCTCTGTAGCTTTGGAGCCTGTCCTGGACTAGCTCTGTAGACCAGGCTGGCCTCGAACTCACAGAGATTCACCTGCCTCTACCTCCCGAGTGCTGGGATTACAGGCATGTGCCACCACTGCCAGGCCTGCCTCAATCTTTTAGTTACAGGTTTGTGACTGCCCAGGCCCAGCTTGGAAACTCTCAATAGACACTGTCTATACAGGTAGTTCATGGCATTCCACAGTTGCTGAATGTTACATAAGTCATAGGACAGCACCACGTGTCCAGAGAACCCAAAGATTTTATGATAGATTAAACTTAATAGTTTAAATAATTCAAATAATTCAGCCACTTGGACATTCCCTGCCCCCTTTATTTTTTAGTTTTTGGAGACAGAGTCTCACTCTGTAACTCTGGCTGTCCTGAAATTCGTTATGGAGACCAGGCTGGCCTTGGACTCACAGAAAGCCATCTGCCTGCTTCCCACGTGCTAGGATTAAAGGTGTATACCACCATGCCTGGCAAGTAACACCTTCTTACCTTCTAAATTAAAAATCATCTTTTCCAGTATCTTGAATTTGGCCATTTCATAGACATTGAGTAGGGAAGGAGACAAGACGTGAACAAGAATTCTGGAAGAGTGAAGATGCTGTATGGATTTCTGTGTCATCTCTAAACTACTGAAGCTATGCTGTGTCCTTTGCTTCCTAGGTCCACATCTCCACTTGCAAAGCTTCATGGGACTTCTATTTTAGAGCGACATCACCTGGAATATAGCAAGACTCTCTTGCAGGATGAGGTACGAGAGTTTTCCTCGCAGGAAGCTTACAGGTTCTGGATCTAAGACTACCCCAAGTGCTTGGGTGAAAAACAGTCTTCAGTGATGACACTGGCGATGTGTGCCCTTACCCAAGGACAGTTTGCATGTCCCTGCCTCTCTGCCATGGCAGAAGTTGCTATACTGCATCTAGGTTTTGCAATACCAAGCTGCAAGAAGTTAAGACCAAGAAGAAAAGAGGCACAAAAGTCACAGAATCTCTGGCCCATTGGTCAAGAACGTGAAAGGGCTTTGTGCACCTTGAGCATCTATTTATAAATGTAGAGAGGGAATAACAGCTACGCAGACACTGTTTTTATTACTCACTCATGGGGCACACCCTGCAGAGTATGGTGCGGACCTTGGAGAAAGTCACGTTTTGGTAAGGTAGGCTCAGATAAAAATACCAGATAAATCAAACAGCTTCCACAGGAGAGGCCCTGTATCAAGCTCTATTCATGGGAGAAAAAGGGGAGGGGTCATGACGGCTTAGGCAGGAAGTGGTCTCCAGCCCCTTGAACCCTTAGGATTGGCACTCACAGTATACCACTAACCTTCCACAGGGAGAAGCTATGTGAATCCCTTTATTAACTTCATTTCAGGGGTTTCTGGGCAAGTGGAACAACTCAAAGGGCTTGTTTTTAGAAGGAAGGAAATCGTGTTTTACACAGACAGAGAACCTGCTTAGCATCACATGTTCACAGGAAAACTGCACTCTGGAGGATGGGCTTTTTCCTCAGCTTCTGTAATAAGGTCCCAATAAAGGCTGAGGAAGGAAATAGACAGACCTGTTCCAGCCTAAAGATAGTACACAGTTCAGGGCATGGATGATACCCAGTTTGGGACAACGAAAAGAAAGGGTAGCTGAAAGGGATTCTGGGAGATGAAAATCTCCTGTCAATGCCTAGTTTGTCAGGAGCCTTTGTTTTGCTGTGGGACAGTCTTCGTGGGGCAGTATTCCTGAAGAAGTATTTCCTGTGCATCCCTCTCCATACCACAGTGAGACAAAGTAAATTCTAATCTGTCAGCCACACTCCGCCTGGTAAGGCAAATGTATTTAAGGAACTTCAGCCGAGTGTCCCACCACACAACTTAGAAGGCACCTAGTAGCTTACGTGTTTCCCTTTCTGGGTTTTGACGGTGTATAACAGAGGTGCACTCTTCCGTCTTTGTTTTTTATGGTCTTTGTTGCAGTCTAACCTGGTGTGGTGGCTAGTCTTGGTTGTCCTCTTGTCACAGCTGGGGGGAAGGAGCGTCAACTGAGAAATCGCCTCCATCAGTTTAGCCTGTGGGCCCGCTTATGAGGCATGCTCTTGATCGTTAACTGATGTAGGGTGCCAGCCCACTGGGGGGCAGGCAGTACCACCCCTGGGCAGGTGGTCCTGAGTTGTACAAGAAAGTTCGCTGAGCTTGAGCCTGAGGACCAAGGCAGTAAGAAGTGTTCCTCCATGGGAGCGTGCCTCAAGCTCATGCCTCAGGTTCCTGCTGTGGCTTCCCCCAGGGATGGGCTGTAGTCGGCTAGCTAAAACAAGCTGCTTCCTCCCCATGTAGCTTTTGGTTACCAGTATCAGAGATGCAAACTAGAACACCTGGCTTTGATGGCCATGCAAATGATTATTATTCTTTCTAAAAAGGAATATTGCCTCTCAGTAATGTATACTGCCTTTTCAAGGACCTGTCTACAATGCGATTGAACCTCTAATTGCAGATGTTTAAAGCTTTGTCAATATGGTTGCTAGACAACACAATCACACAGCCTATTTATGAGCAGTCAAATTGACCACAACAAATTGACGCTTTAGCTCATAATATATGCCTTTTATATTTTAGGAAAATAGTGTGGCTCTTTTTTATTATTCTGTAAAGAAAATAAGCCTACTAAAAGTTTTCATATTTTTAATAAGAGAAATCCTTAGAATTTATTCAGCAATTTTGGCTCTTGTGGGCATCACTCAGACATCTTGTTTTTCATATTGTAATACATTGAACTGAAACGTCCTTATTGCCAGTGTTACAGCTCCGGAGGGAAAGGTAGAAAGGTATCCTGACTTGTCAGGAAGTCAGGCTATACCTACAGCTGTGAAGGGAAGGTATCCTGGATACCTACAGCTGTGAGGAGAAAGGTATCCTGACTTGTTGGTAAGCCAGGCTATACCTGAAGCTGGGGTCTGGGAGGCGGGGGTCTCCTCTCAGGATGTGGCAATCCTGCTCCTCTCAGAGAGAGAGAGAGAGAGAGAGTCCTTACAGCTGAGCTCTGCTCTGCTCCCCTAAGGGAGCTTCCCAGCAGAGGTACCCATTTCGTCCCAGCTCTGGCCCAAGATGTTACTTCTGCTTCCCTCTGCCTAGGGGAAACCCTGCAGAAATGTAGCAGTCTGCTCCAGCTCCAGCGAAAAGTTGTTACTTCTGCTCTGCTCAGGAGTTTCCCAGCGGAGGTGTCCTCTGCTTCTTCTGCTCTGCTCCCTAAGGAGCTTCCCAGCAGAGATTCTGCTCCTTTGAGCTGGCGAAAGACCTTCACCCAAAACTCCTTCAAGAGATTTATTTGGAAAGGAGGAATCAGGAGAGTGGCTGCCTCTGCCAGGGTGGAGGAAGACAGCAGCCATCTGAACAGGAGAAGAGGCTTGTACGGGGCTTCTTAGAGGCGGAGCTTTTCTAGGGAGACGATTTTCCGGATAGGCGGTGCGGAATTGGTCAGATTTTGATCCTCATGAGCTTGGACAAACTCAGATTGGCTAGATTTTGTGCTCAGGGATTGGTTGCTTTCATGTTCAGTTGGGCAGGGGCAGATTTGGCTCTGGTTTCTGGGTCAGGGTGGGTTTCTTTGGCTGGCCCTTTCACCCTACACTTATCTTTCCTAGAATTTGACACATAGGACTGACTGTATTTCAAACCAGACAGAAATCAGCTTGTGACCTGAGTGAATAGGTTGTGATATTGTTATTCAAATTTATGAGAATACACACACACACACACACACACACACACACACACACACACACACACACCAGCTAAGCAGTTAGGGGCTGGCCTGGCTAGAACTGGCCTAGAGACCCGGCCTTGTTTTGGCGCACCTGCATCTTTATATAATGTTTTCAGAACAATGTGCAGGGATAGGGAGATAAGTATTACTTGCTTATATATTTTAAGAATTCATAGCTTAGGACTAAAAATTCAAGTATTAGGTGAAATATGGAGGGAAACTATAAATGGAAGTGATGGCATTCAAATTCTACCACCCAGCAATGGGCATTCCATTAATACTGGATGAACTTCGCTGCTGTAGCCTGGTGGCATGGTGGAATGCCTGAAACCCCCACACTTTGGAGGGAGAGGGAGAAGGCAAGGAATCCAACGTTATTCTTGGATACATAGCCTGGGCAACATGAGACCATGCCTTAAAAGAAAACAAAACACACAGACAAAACCCACATTGGATCTGGACTGAGATGCCCGGTGGAGTCATTGTGAACAGTCCCAAGTAGGAATATGATTTTAATCCAGACAGTTTTTTTTTCCTGCAATTTGGAAGTTTACTGGGCACTGCTTGACTCTGCCCATCTGAAAACACACACTATAGTTGCAACAATGAATTCAATGTTTTAATAAACAAATGATAGATTCCTGTCTAGTGGTTACATATGTCTTTCAAAATGCCAGTTCTTGTTCCAGATGATATAAATAGATGGCCTCCATGAAAACTTATCATGTCTAGAGCTTGAGTTCTTGGGCAAAAATTCAAAAGCCTTCTGGAATGACACTGACAGCCAGATTTGGTTTAGGGTTGAGATTTTGTTTAATTTTGTTTTAACCTGAAGGTGGTCTCAAAACTCTATATAATAATTTATATTATCATAATGGAGATACAACAACAGTGAGTTAACTTGTAGCAATTTTAATTTCTAGTGATTCCTCAGGTTTGCCTCACTGGAGTTGACCTTGCATGGGTCTTTACTGAGCACAGACTATGAGTTAGGCAGTTGGAAGGACAATTTATCCCAGTTGAGAAAACAAAGGCAGATGTTAGGGCTGTGTCCAGCATATTCGGCTTTCAACAGTAAAGCTGGGACCTGGTCCCAGGCTTCTTGCTGAAAGGCAGTGTGGGGTAGAAACTGAGAGCACCCACCAGTGGGCAGACTACATCGGTTCAGATACCATACCTGCCCTGTTTTGGCTGTTTAACCCAAAGCAAGTTGCTTAACATCTCTGCATTATGGTTTGTCATAGATTAAGAGCATTCGCGTAGCACTTAGAAGCTGGTAGGTGCAGGAAATACTCATTTGCTCTTACCAGTTTGGAGTTCAGTTCAGTATTCCTTTCTGCGTTATATCCCTCTTGTCTGCACACAGGCCTACAGACTGTTGCCTTTCTCTCTCCCGTGGAATTGTCCTGGGTTTTGTCACCTTCATTTGGCAATACCATTGTACCTCTGTCCTCTGTCCTGCATGACTGAAATGGTCCATACAGAACACCATGACTTTTAATAACCACTCCAAGTTTTCTATTCTGGTAATCTAGAAAATGAAGAAATGAAACTAATTCATAAATGAAGATATTATTAATGAGAAATTCTGAAAAAAAAAAGATCTACTAATTCTTTGTTAAATATTGCAAGAAAACATTTTAAGGGTAACACAAGGAGGTTCGTTATTTTTTCTACATACATGAATATTAGTGTTGTCGTTGGCCATTTCTAAGAGACAGTGGTTTCATGGTTACTCTAGAATTAGCTTGTCAGCAGTACCACATGGCTAACCATTGGACATCCCAGAAATCCTTTCTTACAGTGCCTCAATTAATACAAGTAAGTATTTATTCTATTGTTATATTTTCATATAGTCCTGAAAGAGAACAAATTATTTATTCTAAAAATGAAGATACAGAGTAGCTGAACCTATTTTTAGAGTTTAAATGACTGACCTACTCAAAGTAGAGTAGAGATTTGTACTTAAACCATTAAAAAAATAGGTATCAGGGGCTGGAGAGATGGCTCAATGGTTAAGAGTACTCACTGGCTACTCTTTCAGAGGTCCTGAGTTCAATTCCCAGCACCTACATGGCAGCTCACAACTGTCTGTAACTCCAGCTCCAGGACATCTGACATCCTCACACAGACATACACACAGGCAAAACACCAATGTACATAAAATAAAAATAAATAAATCATTTTTTAAAAAGACACCAAAAATGTTGAAAGATAGGCTATATGAACTCACTGTTTTGTTTGTTTGTTGAACCAAAGGTCAACTAGTTGTTGTATTTTATTGTGAATTGTTCATCCTTTCTTGTGAATTGTTCATCTTACAGAGTTTAAACATCTTCCAGAATCTAAACAAGCGGCAGTTTGAAACAGTGATCCATTTGTTTGAAGTTGCAATAATAGCAACTGACCTGGCTTTGTATTTCAAGTAAGTATAAGAATGGGTATCTGTGGTGATATATTGTGTTCCCCAATATATTGTGCACCCTAATAAACTTATCTGGGGTCAGAGAACAGAACAGCCACTAGATATAGAGGCCAGAAAATGGCGGTGCGCGCGTGCATGCGCGCGCGCACACACACACGCACACACACACATACACACACACACCTCTTTAATCCTAGCATTCCAGAGGCAGAGAGACATTTGGATCTCTGTGAGTTCAAAGCCACACTGGAAATAGAGCCAGGCATGGTGGCACACACCTTTAATCCCAGGAAGTGATGACAGGAAGCAAAAAGGTATATAAGGCGTGATGACCAGGAACTAGAGCCTCTTTAGGCTTTTAGGCTTTTAGCAGCAGTTCAGCTGAGATCTATTCAAATGAGGACTCAGAGGCTTTCAGTCTGAAGAAACAAGATCAGCTGAGGAGTTGACAAGGTGAGGTTAGATGTGGCTTGTTCTGTTTCTCTGATCTTTCAGCGTTCACCCCAATACCTAGTTCCAGGTTTGTTTTTATTAATAAGACTTTTTAAGATTCGTGTTACAGGTGTCAGAACACTCTTGAACCTGGTGTGGTTCTGCCTTCTATAAACTGCACTAAAGTTAAATGTAAACGGAGGCTTTTCTCTGTCCTGCCCATTCTGCAATCCCTTTCCAAATTATCATTCAGAGGCTTATATTAATTATAAATGCCCAGCTAGTAGCTCAGGCTTATTACTAACTAGCTATTACACTTAAATTAACCCATAATGCTTATGTATGTTTAGTTATGTGGCTTGGTATTTTTTTCTCAGCACAACATTCTCATTTTGCTTCCTCTGCATCTGGCTGGCAACCCCTGACTCTGCCCTTCCCCTTCCCAGCATTCTCAGTTTGGCTTTCTCGCCTAACTTCCTGCCCAGCTACTGGCCTGTCAGCTTTTTATTAACCAATGAGAGTAATACATATTCATAGCACACAGAAGGACAGCCCACAGCAGTTAAAAGGCTTGTTTACGTGGCTAGAGAGATGACTCATTACTTGTGAGCATTTGATATTCTTACAGAAGATTGGAGTTGGATTCCCAGGACCCATGCTCACAATGGCCTCTAACAATGGCTTAAGGGATACGATGTTCCATCTGGCCTCTGTAGCCATCCACACATATGCATAAGTTTTTAAAACCAGGCTCACAAATCTGTTTTCTTTTTGGAATGTTAGTTATCCTCAAGACAGTTGACTGACAGTGAACTTACTCTGTTTTGGAGACATACTTTCGAAAGCACAAGCCTGCCCTGTTAAATACCTTGTGATTTGCAGCACAAACAAGAGGGTACAGTGGTGCATGGCCTGAAGAACAATGTCACGAAACTGCACCCCATGGCTGTGTGTCCTGGTCATTCACCGTGGTCCAGAATCTAGTATTTAACTGGATTTGTTCAGTGGTAGAATGCTTGCCCAGAATCTGGTATGTGTTATTTCAGGCTCAGAAATTTGACCCTGTGAGAGTTGTGGATTGAACAATTTTGATGATTCTAACACAAACTAAACTCCCGAAACCTGAGTTTTTACACAGCAGAGGGCCAAGGAGGCCAGATATGCCAAGTATCTGCACACTCTCTTCTAAGCAAAATATAAAGTTTCATGGTGAACATTGGTTAGAAAGAGGTGGGCTATTTATAGCATCCAAATATTTGGTGACTTTGGCACTGTCAAATTTTGCCTTGTCCTTAAAAATCCAACTTCATTAAACAGTTCAGCTATGATTACAAATGCTTAGGACACCATAACGGTATCCTGACACCCAGGGCTCACATCCCACCAGTGGTCACCCATCATGTGACATGTGCTTCAGAATCCAGGATTCGTTTGTTGGCTTGTTTTTGTTTATTTAGAGACAGGGTTTCTCTGTGTAGCTCTGGCTGTCCTGGAACTCACTCTGTAGACCAGGCTGGCCTTGAACTCAGAGATCCTCTGCCTCCCAAGAACTGGGATTAAAGGTGTGCACCACCACCACCTGGCTCAGAATTCAGTATTTAAGGACAGAAACAGAAGCAGAGATACCATGAGGGTACTCCACCCCCATTTCATCACGAAAAGTCCTCTCACTTTCCAAAGAGAGCCATCTGATACTGATAAGCTCCATCCATCCTTTCTACTCCTGTTCCTATGAGGCACTGCTGAGTGTGTTTTGAATTTTTTTCCACACATGACACCCTACTGTCTGCAAATATCTTCCTGCAACTCGATTTTCCCACACAGCATTGTGTTTTAAAGATTTGCCTTTGGTGATATGACACTTCTAGATTGATTTTAAAAAAATTCATGTCGAAGCACTACAAGTAAATCATAAGACATTCACGAGCATGTCAAATTCAAGACAAGACCCTGATGGAGCCAAACAAAAATGCAATTAAAAATTAATAAAAGAGCTGGGTGGTAGTGGTGTATGCCTTTAATCCCAGCACTCAGGAGGCAGAACCAGGCAGATCTCTGTGAGTTCAAGGCCAGCCTGGGCTACCAAGTGAGTTCCAGGAAAGGTGAAAAGCTACACAGAGAAACCCTGTGTCGAAAAACCAAAAAATTTTTAAAAATTAATAAAAGATCCGGCAATTGGGCTCAGTGGGTAAAGCAAATGCCATATAAGTATGCAGATCTGAGTTTGGATTCCTCACCACCCACACAAAAAACTGAGTGACAGGAAGCAACTGTAACCCTAGCATAAGGAGGGAATGTTAGTGAGGACAGCTAGAAAGGGACCCATCAAGGAAAGACACCTGATGTCCCCTTCTGGCTTTTACACATAGATGTACACCCATCCCCTCATCCCTATTCACTGTCCACACACAAACAAGTACACATATGGAGATAGATAGATAGATAGATAGATAGATAGATAGATAGATAGATAATAGAAGGAAAGATAGATGATAGAAAGAGAAAGAAAGATAGAAAGGAATATAGATAGATAGATAGATAGATAGATAGATAGATAGATAGATAAGTAGATAGATAGATAGTAAATTAAAAGGCTCCCCCTTGGTAATGCACAGAGAGACAATTCACTTGCTCCAATTGTAGTGTTTAACTGTTGGACAGACAATAATTCCCTTACACTCCCACACAGAAATAAATTCAGATTATATCTTATCTCCATTATTGTCCACAATGCTACATTGCAGATCGTTGTGCATATATGGGAGTGTCTGTGCACAGAGTGGCAGTGTTGTGGGGTGTACACGTGTTTTGTGTATGCTGTCTTGCAGTATTGGGCTCCACCATTTACATCCTACCAGCAGCATGCCAGGGGCCTCTGATTCCATATCTGAAGTACTCTTGATCTGGACACATCGGATTTTAGTTTGCTAACCTGTTGAGTATGAGAAGCTACCCTACTGTTTAGATCTGCATTTCCCAATTGCCAGTGAGAGCGGCCATCCATGTAGTTTGGTTTCTGTGTTTTTGTTGGGCGTGTGTGCTGTGATGGTACAGCGCCTGCCTGGCCCTGGCGCTTGTTTCGTTTTTTTTCTTGTTTGAACTTTTGGTTTGACTGTATTCAAACTTTCTTGGGTTCGCCCCACTCTGTGGTTTGTGCTTTTTCTGCCTCCAGCCCCTTTATGCCAGAGGTAGTCAGAACTGCCTGCTCTCTATCCTGGCTCTTGGCCCCTGCTAAGCAGACAGCCTGAGGCAGAGTGGGAACATAGAATATGAAAAGCACACGCTTAAGATCATTTTCTGTGGAAAAATTTGTAGCACAAATCTTTAAGGGTCTTATTAAAAAAAACAACAACAAAAAACAGGAGCCAGGTATTGGGGTGAATTCTGAAAGATCAGAGAAGCAGAACAGGTCACAGCTAACCTTAACTCCACAACTCCTAATTGGATCCTGTTTCCACGAATCTTCAGACTGAAAGCTTCTGAGTCCTCACCCCAGTGGATCTCAGCTGAACTGCTGCTGAAAGCCTAAAAGCCTCTAGTTCCTGATCCTCACGCCTTATATACCTTTCTGCTTCCTGCCATCACTTCCTGGAATTAAAGGCGTGTGTCACTATGACTGGCTGTTTTCAGTTGTGGCCTTGAACTCACAGAGATCAGGATGGATCTTTACCTCCTAAGTGATAGGATTAAAGGTGTGTGTGCCACCATTTTCTGGCCTCTATGTCTAACTAGTGACTGTTCTGTTCTCTGACCCCAGATAAGTTTATTAGGGTGCACAATATATTGGGGGAAACAATATCACCACAAAACAAAATGATGTACAGCTGTATCTTTTCCAGGAAGAGGACCATGTTTCAAAAGATTGTTGATGCCTGTGAACACATGCAAAGTGAAGAGGAAACCGTCAAATATGTAACTTCTGACCCAACCAAAAAGGAGGTCATTATGTGAGCAGTCAGAATATTGATCCCTTTTTAGCAAAACAGCATGTTTTGTACTTTTTCTAGTTTGCTAATTTTTCATTTCTTCATAAGGGCCATGATGATGACTGCCTGTGACCTGTCTGCCATCACCAAGCCTTGGGAGGTGCAGAGCCAGGCAAGTACCACAGCATTGCCTTTCTTGTAACACACCTGGGACCCACCTGTCCGCTAGCCTTGGGGGGTGCAGTCAGGCAAGCCCAGCTGCATTTCCTGTGACCCGTCACACACCTGCGATCCGCCACACACCTGTCTGCCATCATCACGCCCTGGAAAGTGCAGAGTCAGGCAAGTCCTGAGGCATTTCTTTTCCTGTCACACACCAGGTGCTGTCTAAATCCTGTGAAAGGCCACACAGTGATCTCTGGCAACCCCAGAGTACTATTCTGATCTTTACAGACAACAGCAGGTCAGCCGGTCATTGGATCATGTCCCAGAACAAGGAAAATACAGAAGACTTTGAAAAGAAAATGGAGGGGGGTGAAAGTGGGGGACAGAACTCCTTATTATTGAACAAGCTATAAAATTTTTTATGCAGAATTCACCAGGCATGGTGGTTCAAACCTGTAATCCGACTGCTCCTGAGGAGGCTGAGGCAGGAGGATACAGGATTCAACGATAGCCTGGGCTACATAGTAAGGCCTATCAAGTGAACTCAACTTATGAGCTGTTCAGTAGGCAGATAAGTCAGAACGGGCCCTGGGGAAGGGACTGGTGCTGTTCCCGGGGTCTTCTATAAAGTGACTGGAAGGTGCTGACAGAGAATCCACATTCAGGGCTGTTCTTTGTCTACTTTGTGGGGAGGGCAAAGACGGTGCTTAGCTACTTGTTTTCTCATTGATTGGCTGGAAGAAGCTGCTTTTTTTCAATGATGTCTAGGTGAAAACTTCAGCAGAGGAGCCAAGATTTCTTTGGTTCAACTGTCCATCCTGATTATATCTAGAAACAAAAAGTCATTGGAACCCATTGTGGGAGAGGGCAAATACCTTTTTGTCCTAGCCATCCTTGGTTTATGGCTGTAGGTCCTAAGTAAAAGACAGCCTGCAAAGAGAGAAGTGTATAAATTTATGTTAAGTTTATACATACATGACATAAGAGCCTTCATAAGTGGACAAAGGCCTCAAGAAAGTTATTTTCATATATTTTTGAATAACATTTAAAGTGTGTGTGTGTGTGTGTGTGTGTGTGTGTGTGTGTGTGTGTGTGTGTGTGAGTTGCGGGGGCAGTGGCAGAGAATTTGTGCATGTGCATGTAGTGCTCAAGGAGAAGACATAAGATCTCCTAGAGCTGGGGTTACAGGCAGTTGTGAGCAGATGTGTATTCTGGGAACAGAACTCAGGTTCTCTGGAAGAGCATTGTCCACTCTTAACCACTTAGCCATCTCTCCAGCCCTGTAGCCTCATATATTTTTATGCAAGAATTGATGAAGAAGTCGTTCATGGAGAAACACAGCTGTAAAATGGTGATAACCAGGGAACTTAGCAAGGCCACTTGCTCAGGGTCTTGGCCTCTCTCTACCTCCATTGCGCTTCCTCCACAGGTGAGGAGCACCTCTTGAATGAGCTTGCCAGATCGGGAAAGGTCAAGGTCAATCTGTCTTTCTCAAGCTTCATCACCTCCTTTATCAGGGAGGGGGAGGCAAGTGGGACCTGCTGGGAGGTTTGATCAAATTCCAACAGCAAATAAGCATTCAAATCGACATGACTGTTCTTCCTTCTGTATTGTTGATGTGTTGGTGTGTGTGTGTGTGTGTGTGTGTGTGTGTGTGTGTGTGTGTGTGTGTGTGTGTGTAAGCCAGAGGACAAAGTTGGGATGTCCTTCTCCAGTGTTCTCCATCTTATTTTTTGAGATCAGGTCTCCTTACTGAACCTGGAACTCGCTGTTTGAGCGAAGCTGTCTGTCTGGCCACTGAGCTCCAGGGATTCACCTGGATCCTGATATAAACCCTATGTGGGGGCTGTAGACCTTCTAGCTTTTTACGTGGCATTGGGGATTGGAACTCAGGTCCTTAAAGTTGTTGGCAAACACTTCACCACTGAGCCATCTCCCCAGCTCCCACCTATATTCTTTATCTGTTAGGCTTAAGCCAGACATTCAGGGTCTCCCTTGAGCTCACCATCATTTCTAATCCTTTCTGCCTGTCACACCCAATATGGCATCTGTAAGACTGTATCCAGGGCTGAGGATGTGTCTCAGTTGGAAGAGTGCTTGCCTAGAACTCAGGGAGCCTTGAGTTCAGATCCCAGCACCTCATAAATAGAGCATGTTGATGCATGCCTCTAATCTCATCACTTTGGAGGTGCAGAAAAAGAGAATCAAAAGTTCAAGGATACCCTGGGCTACATAGTAAGTTTGAGACCAACCTGGGCTACATGAGACCCCCCCCCCATGTCAAAAAGGATTTGAATGTAGCCTTTGATGGGCAGTCTAGTGGTGGCCTCCTGGCTGATCTTCATCAATGATTCCCTGTCCTCTTCTGTCCTCTGATCTGCCGCCTGAATTGTCTATAGAGCTCTGCTCACTCCATGCTTGGAAAGGATTCTCAATGATACAGCACAGAAGTTTCCAGCTCACTTATTTGTTTTTACAAAATCTTTTTTGTTTTGTTTTGTTTTTGAGCTGGGCATGATGATGTGCATCTGTAATGCCAGCTGAGACACTGAGACAAGATAATTGTAAGTTCAAGCCTACCCAGGGTAACATAACAAAACACTGTCTCAAAAACAAAAACAAAAAACCAGAAGTCTACTTTCTTCTCACAAAACCTGTACAGAGATAACCACAGGATAGAGATGGAAGTTTTGGCCTGGAGACCCAAGTTCATCCTCCCGATACAGTGCACAGGCCTGTCATTACCTGTCCCCTCCCTCACCCTTCTGGGGTCATTACCCATCACCCCAAGCTGGCACCACACACTCCAAGCTCTGGGATAAGACTCAGGCAGTCTGTTCTGTGCATAATTTTCTCCTCCTTTTTATCTAGATTATCTACTGCTCAACTCTCATTGGATAACAGAAACGCCGCCTCCCTCTGGCATGACGTGCCTCTTTTCTTCTTCCTCTTTTACCCGTAGCAGTAAGTCTATTAGTGTTGTAGTACATACCACACTGAGGGCAAACTGTTCTCACTACACTGTGAGCATCTGAAAGACGATGCCCCATCTCTTCCTTCTTGGCAAGCCAGGCTTCCACCAATGTCAGGTAGCTAGCAAATGTCTGTCCATCATGAGGTGTTACCTTTCATTATGTGAATTAATACTTGATTATCCTCACACGGCTGTCAAGATGTGTGTGTGTGTGTGTGTGTGTGTGTGTGTGTGTGTGTGTGTGTGTGTTCACCATATACAAACCTATGCTAGATGACCACAGCTAATAACAGGATTGGAAAACGTGAGGGTTGGAGGCATCTTGGTTTGAGAAACTCAACCTTCTCCCATCCCCCCTCTTTACTGAGAAGTGATGGCAATATAAACAGAAGACGAACTCTCGGAGTTGGACCAGAACCCTCAAGTGGGGAGAGAACCCTTTCCCATTTCAGCCTAACCTGCACGTGGCATCTGTTTTCTAACTTCAGAGCAGCTGGCTTGATGACCCCTCAAGCGTTGACTGGAAGATCCTTAGATGTCACTCATGCTGACATGACGGAAGTTCTCTGCTGATAGTGGGTATCCCAAAGCATGCCTCTGTCTTTTGCAGGTGGCACTTCTGGTGGCAAATGAATTCTGGGAACAAGGTGACTTGGAAAGAACAGTGCTGCAGCAGCAACCAATTGTAAAGACCTTGCCATAACCATGTCACTAATTAAAACCATCCCTAAAGCCCTGAAAAACGTCTTTAAAGGATTTCCTTCTCTTCTAGCCCATGATGGACAGAAACAAAAAAGACGAACTCCCCAAACTTCAAGTGGGATTTATTGATTTTGTTTGTACTTTTGTATATAAGGTATGTAAACAAATTATTTGAATGAACTGTGTAATCATTTAAATGAGAATTTTTCTTTCAAACTCTAACTAGAGTGAGCCAGCTATGGTGGTGCGCATCTGTAATCCTAGCACTCAGGAGGCAGGGGGATCAAAAGTTCAAAGTCACCTTGGATTACATGGTAAGTTTCAGGCCACCTGGGCTTAAAAATCAAACAAAAAGTTGACTAAAGCAAAGTTACCAGTGAAGAAAACCACCAGGTCATGTCCTCCATAGTATTTTGAACATTGACTTTGATTTATTCAGAGTGGAATAAAATGTGCAACAACTCACAGATGATCTACTGGACAGACAGCAAAGAGCCCCTGCCTCGCCCAAGCTTCCGAAGCACCCAGGCTCATCCCAGCAGCTCCAAGCACCGCCCACCTCCCAGCTTCTCTTCTGCTTATGAACACTATTGAAAATCAGCTGTGTGATTAACTAGTTTCCGGTCTCAAATTCTCTGCAGGAGTTCTCGCGGTTTCACAAAGAGATCACCCCCATGCTGGACGGCCTTCAGAATAACAGAGCGGAATGGAAATCACTGGCGGAGGAATATGAGGCGAAGGTGAGGGTGACCGAAGAGCAGGTGGGAAAGCAGGAAGAAGGAGCAGTGGATGGAAAAGGTTAGCTGGAATCGAGTTTGCCTGTGTGAGTGTGCAGTAGCCAGAGACGTGTGTCTGTGTGTGTGTGTGTGTGTGTGTGTGTGTGTGTGTGTGTGTGTGTGTAGGGGTGGGTGAGTGGGTGTCATGTGACAAAAATACAGAGCATCTGTGCTAATAGGAAAACTGCTTTGCTGATGCAGGTAGGTAAGTTAAAGAAGTTTGTGGTTTTCAGGGTTGTCTTGCCCTCAGTTGAGATCTTATGCATAGCTCCAGGAGTTGACAGCCCCAGCCAGCCAGGTCCCAGTACTGCAGAGGCTGTCGGTGGGTATTAGTAGCCCCTAGCAGGTGGCCCTAGGGCATCTCTGTCAAACATAAGGTCAGGCAGGGGTCAGGAATAGATGGGAAGACAGTGCAAATGGGGCACCCTGCATTAGCTGTGAAACTCTGGGCAACTTGCTCAAACTCTCCAGACTATAGAAGAGGTTTTACAGATTGACATCTGAAGGAAGTCCTACAGGTAAAGTTAAAGTTGGCCAACCATGTGAGGTGGCTTGAAGGAGATGCTAAATCTTTACTTGCCCCCCAGATATCTTCACATGGTGCTATTTTTTCTGGCTTGAAATTTCTACTCCCAGTCACTTGACAGGTTTATCATTGCTTTCAGAAAGCCTGTTAAAGTGCTTACAATGAATTGTCAGTTCTTCAACTGAATGTTCATATTGATAGCAAAATGCTGGGCTGGGCTGGAGCTCTATGGTAGAGCATTTCCTAGCATTGCAGAAAGCAGAATGCTAAATTGATGGTGAGTTGTCCATGCATGTTTATGAATGAGTGTGTGTGTGTGTGTGTGTGTGTGTGTTGGTGTGGAGCTCTGAGGAGCTGTGTACCTTGTGTGTCACAGTGATAGGTTTTGTTACTGACCTGGGACTCATCTATTTAGCCAAGCTGGCTGGCAAGACCTGTGTATCCATCTGTTTCTACCTCCCCAGTACTGGGATGACAAGCACATACCACCATGCCCAGCTTTTTCACATGGGTACTGGGAATCGAATTCGGGTCCTTGTGCCTGCGTTGGCAACCCTTTTCCTACTGAGCGATTTCCTCAGGCTGAGATGTTAATGTCTGTCTCCAAAGGTTAGCACTGTAACAGTTTTGTAAGTCGTTCCTGTTGGCAGAGAAACCATCTGTGTGTGGGAGGCCCTGCATGAAGATGCTTCTAGACGACTGCACTGTTCAGAGTTTAATCAGTTCATTGAAGTGGGAATATTTGCCTTACCAAAGTTATAGACATCCCTCAACGGAATAAAAGCAGGGTTTCTGATGCCTTCATGCCCACTCATTCAAATATTCACAGGGTATGTGTTCTCACAAGGCTGTATTAGGCCTTGGGAAAAGACAGGGACCTTATCTCCAAGCTCTCACCTCTGAAGGGAGAGCTGGGCATTAAGTGACTAATGCATAACCTGATGGTGAGCCTTGGAGAAAGCTTGCAGTGTATACTGAGAACACAGGAAGGCTTCCCTGAAAAGGGGGTGTCTGTGCTGAGGTCCCAAGACAGTAAGTCCCAACTCGCACAAAGGAGCAGAGGTGAGTGGAGAAGAGAAAAAATAGGATATGTAAAATAACTTCTGACGGAATAAGCTTGGTGTGGCAGAATCATTTCAAAACATGTCCATGTGTAGTCAAGGACGGATGGACGGACGGATGGACAGAAACCCGAGTACCAGATGAAGCTGGTGGTGTAAGCAGTGACTAACAGTATGTAGCCTGCAGCCAGCTGCGTGACACAGTCAGGGGAGAGGTTGGCGCAGGAAGGTCTGAGCTGCACTTCAGGAAAACAGAAGAGATTTTGACTGATTCATTCAACTTCTGACGTTACTTTGTCTCTCCTGTTAGAATGAGGAGAAATGCCTTAGGACAAAGATGTCTCTGATGAGGATACAGCCATCTTCCCCAAGTGACTCCTATATTTGTTGTCTTCATTCTTTAGCAAATATTTTTATCAATTCTTGAGAATTTCATGTATGTGCACAATGTATTGTTTTTGTTTTGACTCAAACCCCTCCCCTAATTACTCCGAGTGGACACAGGTCTTCTACATGTTATTTGCATACGTTTATTTCTAATTTCTGTCTATTACTTGAAGAGTTCTCTCCCGGGCTTCAGGTTTTGTGCCTCTAGCTCAGATTCCAGCTTGTTTAATTTCACTGAAACACTGAGATGGTAACTGCTTATCAAGTTTCAGTTCATTTTGTTTTTTGAGAGTCTCACTCTGTAGCCTAGGCTGTCTGGAACCCACAGAGATCTGCCTGTCTTTGCCTCC